AAGAGTGTGATCTCCTTGGCTCTGTCTGTATCCTAAGGTCATCATAACCTTAGTAAATCTTCCAAACCAAGCACGAGGTGACTGCTTCAATCCATACAAGGCCTTTTTTAATCTACAAACTTTATTTTCCCCCTTCACAGAATCAAAACCAGGCGGGATTTCCATGTAGACTTCTTCTTCTAACTCACCATTGAGGAAAGCATTTTTCACATCAAATTGATTTATATCCCAATTGTAATGGGCAGCAAGGGATAACAAGATTCTCACTGTATTCATCTTTGCAACTGGAGCAAAGGTTTCTTCATAATCAATGCCATAGGTTTGAGTGTAACCTTTGGCCACTAATCGAGCCTTATATCTCTCAAGAGTGCCATCAGAATTATATTTCAGGGTATAAACCCATCTGCACCCTACTGCTTTCTTTCCGTTGGGTCTATCAATAACCTCCCATGTTTTATTTTTCTCCAAAGCATTCATCTCCTCTTGCATGGCTTGAGCCCAATTCCTATCTTTCAAGGCTTCATGTACTGATTTTGGGATTGCAATAGAATCTAGTGCTGAAACAAAGCTTTTGTGCTGCACAGAAAGATTAGCAGAGGAAACAAAGTGGGAGATAGGGTATTGAGTACAAGAGGGACATGAGGAACAAGTTTTCTTGTGACAAGATCTTTTTCCTTTTCTAAGAGCAATAGGTAAGTCATCAGAAGTAGAAGCAATGGGTAAGTCATTAGAGATATCAGAAGAAATAGACAAATCATGAGAGGAAATAATATTAGAATCAGAAACAGGAGATTCAGAAGAAATAGGAGATTCAGGACTTACCAGTGGTTCAGACGATTGAGGTTGCTGGTGAGACAGTATGGGTTGTATCTCAGGTGTATTTGAAGGTTCTGACATACCAGGAGCAGACACACTAGGAAGAGAGAAGATTGATCCAGACTCAAAGAAGGAAGGGGACGAGTCTTCTGAAGAACTATTCTCCCCCTGACGATGAGGACCCAGGAAATAAGATTCAGATTCTTGAAAGGTGACATCCATAGAAACAAAAAATTTCCGACTTGGTGGATGATAACACTTGTACCCTTTTTTATAAGGGTTATAACCAAGGAAGATACACTTAAGAGCCCTAGGATCCAACTTACTTCGATGTTGTTTATGAACATGGACAAAGGCAACACATCCAAACACTCTTGGTGGAAGGCTCTGCAATATGGGAACAGAAGGAAAGAAGGAAGTCATGGAATGAATAGGACTGATATTGTTAAGGACCCGTGAAGGTAAACGGTTGATCAAAAAAGTTGCAGCTAATACTGCTTCTCCCCAATAAGAACTAGGAACAGATGTCTGAAAAAGTAGTGCTCTAGCAACTTCAAGAAGGTGACGATTTTTCCTTTCAGCAACCCCGTTTTGTTGAGGGGTATCAACACATGTGAGCTCATGAATCATACCTCTGTCTGAAATGAATTGTGACAGGCATTGATTGACGTACTCAGTACCATTATCAGATCTGAGTCTTTTAATACCCTTACCAAACTGAGTCTCAACCATGTGATGAAACCGAATAAATATCTCTGGTACTTCAGACTTGTCTTTCATCAAGTATATCCATGTTATCCGAGTACAATCGTCAATAAAAGAAACAAACCACCTAGCACCTGAAACACTGTGCACTTTAGAAGGGCCCCAAACATCAGAATGGATAAGAGAAAAAGGTTCTCTGCTTTTAATAGTGCTAGAAGGAAATGACACTCGATGGTGTTTTGCAAATTCACAAACATCACAATGAAAGGTCTCAACCGACTTATTGAGAAACAGAGAGGGGAACATAGACTTCAAAAGACTAAATGGTGGATGCCCGAGACGCTTGTGATGGAGCCAAATCATAGACTCTGCAGTAGAAGGATGACGTGTCATTAATAACTGATTTTTGCTAGCATGGTCTGGAAGGAGATGATACAACCCATCCTGTTCATTAGCAACTCCAATTGTCTTCTTCGTGGTAAGATCCTGAATAAGACAATGAGAAGGAAAAAATGTGATAGAACAATTCAAATCAGTTGTAAGTTTTTGAGTGGAGATAAGATTAGTAGAAAGCTGAGGAACATAAAGAACATTTTTAAGAAACAAGGAAGGTTGAATTTGAATGTTACCAGAACCAATAACTGATTTATGGGATCCATCAGCTACGGATATAGTATGACTACCAACAGTAGGATGATAAGAACAAAATAACTCAGTACGACAAGCCATATGATCAGTTGCACCAGAATCCAAAATCCATGAGGTTTTAAAATCAGTGCAAGAAGCAAGAAGAGATATAGAACGTGTGCTCTTACCAGATAAGATCGAAGAACTATCATGCTCAGCCATTCTTTAACAAAAAAAGTTAACAACCAGCGATAAAATCAACCAAACAGAATATCAAATGACCTCTGATCAGAAAAATAATTACAGATCCAGACAGAAGACAAGAAGACGAGAAGAATGGTGGTGGTCCGGTCCAAAAACACGGCCGCACGCGCCTCCACGCGCCGGAGAAAGGAGCTGCGCGTGGGATTCACTCGCCGGGAAAGGGGCGGCGCGTGAGAGCGCGTGGATGGGCTTCGCCGGCTGAGATTTTTCTGGTGTGGTCGTCCGGTGAGCGCACACCTGTCTGTGGGTGGTCGCGGTTGAAAAGTCGCCGGAAAGTGGTCCAAAAGGTGAAGACAGATCTGATTGGAGGCGATCGGAGGTGTTTCGGTCGTTTGTGGCGGAGGAACACTGCGTAGAATGATAGATCGGAGGAAAAATAAGGTCAACAATGGTCCCCTTGGTCCAAAAGGTCCCCGGAAAAATTTTCCGGTGGCGGCTAATGACGGCAAGAGGCAAAGAAATTAGGGTTTTGTTAAAAAAGAAGATAATATGTGCGGAAGCAAAGCCCTCAGATCGAGAGCTCTGATACCAACTTGAAAAAGGGTATTCTAATATATTATAGAATTGTAAATAATCTGTACAAAGGGTTCTCTATTTATAGAGAATATTTGACCTACTTTTAACCTAATGGGCTTGGCCCAATACAACAAAGAGCTTGGCCCAATACAACAATAAATGACTAAATAAAAACTAAATAATAACTAAATCAATATTATTTACAACACGTGACTAGAGACACATTCAGTTATTTATTTATTGAGGTATTTTCAGTTAGATGTTTAATTTACAATTTACATACAGACAATGTTTTATGAAAAAGAATTAAGTAATCAACTTGTTAATATTAATGACATCATAATTGAAAAGAAAAAGTTATTCCGCAATTTAATTAAACATGACTTAATATGATGACATGTTAATAAACCGGGTATACACGGAACGTTACAATGTACTGACATATGTTGTTTATTATTTGAAACTATGTTATGTATGTAAGTCGTACGCTTTGGTTGGCTAGCTATATGATTTATGATGAGAACGTATGACGTTATTCTGTATTTTGCAATAGATAAGAAAAAAGAAAGTTTATTCATATTATGATTATGGGAAAAGTGTCTATCATTTAAAATTACACAACTTACATCCTTTCACTTTCATAAATAGGTGGGGCCCACACCTTTATTTTTTTTGTCAACTCTCTCTCCTCCTTTATTTATATCTTTCTCTCTCCTAAAATGACACAACTTTACATCCTTTAAAATTATACACACTTATGTACCAAAAAAAAAAAAAAAAAAATTATACACACTTTTCCCTATGATTATATGGTAATCATGAATCTAATAATTAGCTCTCGTGTTTATTTAATTAAACATCTTGCGCTTTACACCATATTTGATTATAATACACCAGCTGCAGGGAGAGTTGCACTCGCCATATCCGTTTTCTACATTCTCTACATTTCTGCATACAGGTTGACCCTATTGATTATAGACTGACCTCCAAATGCTAATTTGGTGCTCCATTTAATAATTTATAATTACTTCCGAGCATATTGAGGGACGTCGTCGAACAACAGTCTCATACAAATTTCAAGAACCCCATTTACAAAAAAAAATAAAAAAATTTCAAGAACCCCATGGAAAATTACCCATACACGCGGTAAACAAAACAAAATGGGAGGTTTTTTTTTTGGTTAAACCACAAGTATTCTTTATAGGAGGCAATTCTGTTCGAAACATATCTAAAATTAAGACTTTAAGCCCCTCGCAAAGATAATACTGGACCTGCCCAAACAAGAATGCTTCCCATAAAAGATATCTGTGATTTATTAGGAAAAAGAAAAAAAAAAAACACTGATCCCCAAAGACTCCAAAATCACCGTCAATGAACAACTATCTCACCCCCGGTACTTTGTGTAGATGAGAATCAAGAATTGAACATGTATTCTAGTGTAGTTCGTAGTGTATAGGATAGGATAATGAGTTTGTATATCATAATTAAACGAAATTTGTTGAGTGGGCAAAGAATAAAAAGAAATCGTATATTAAAAAAAAAGAAAAGAAATGAACTGCTCCCCTCGTGTAACTCTTTTTGTTGCTAAATTTTAATCATATTTATAGACGGAGGGGTTATTGTACTTTTTCTTTTCTTTTCATGCTTTCCTTATTTATTATTCTCTAACACTATTAGATTAAAATCTTAAGAAAGGAAAAAAATGATAAAGGTTAGTTGAGATTCTAATCTAACAATATTATATGATGGTAGATAAGGTAAACATAAAAAAGATAGATAGAATAAAATAAGGGTTCACTTTTTCTACAGTCAATATAGATAATTTATCTACATTGAACTCAAAATGACATCGTTTTAAGGTGAAAATAAAGATATTTTGTAATTATAATTTATTTCAGGGTTATAATAGTTTTTTTCATTATAATTTTTTAATTTTTCAACTCAAAACGACGTCGTTTTGAAAGCAAATGTAGATAACTTATCTACATTAACTTTAGAAACATTAAACTGATAAACCTATCTCATTTACTCATGTGTTTTGAAGAAGAAACTTGTATTAAAAGGCATCACAACTAATAACTACTAACAACTACTGAGCTCCTAATGCCTTCATTTTCAAATGGAACTGACTGTGTCTTCTTTTTCATTTCTTTGCCCTTACCCCAAAGCACCGCGTATAGGCCACACACGATCAGCACTGCTCCAAGCACACTATATATATATTCAGCCAAACTACATTAAATCAAATCAGGAATATGGAAAACCGGAAAAAAAAAATCATGAATAGGTACACGTATATGTTTAGGTGAAGTAAGATTTTAGAGTATACCTTCCTAAATATAACTTCTCATCCAACATCAAATAAGCAGCGACAGCCACAAGCAAAAGCTGTAGAGGATTGAAAATAGACGCAAATAGTGGGCCTCTCATCTTTATGCACCATGCAGTAACAATAATTACTATTCCAGAGGTCACAATTCCCTGCATTAATATTTAGTTACTATCATGAAACAACTTCCATTGCTAATATTTTTGTTATATTTCTAACATGTCCCTTTATATAGGAACATATTGAACTTAAAAATGAGTAAAGCACAGGTTCATTTATACCATGCTAACAAGGGCGGATTCAAGAGAGGAGTGAGAATTGGCTGTCGCCCGTAACTAAATTTTTAGTATTTTTATTATATGTATAAAATACTATTTTTTTTTTAAATGACTATTAGTATTAATAATTTGTTTCTCCCTTAAAAATATTTGTAATAATTAACACCTCTTATTAGTCTTAATAACACTTTGTAACTTGGATCTGGATTCTCTCCTTTGTAGGGTTATGATCTTCCCACATGCTCATGTCATGTTTTTTTTTTTTTTTTTTTTTTTCCACAGGAAAGGATCTATAGGATCCATTTCCCTGGTAACTTTGATATTTTATTTTCTTCTCCATCATAAAAAATTCTCAGTCCATTATTGAGAGTTAACAAATTTCATAATTAATATTTAGTAAAAGAATGTTAGAAGAATGAGGAGGACAAAAATCAAATTCTTTCATATCAAGCAATCAACTCTCCCAAAATCTTACATAAATTAAGACATCTAAATAATTTTATATTTTATTTCTATCACAACCATAATAATTTAGTAATTATGAGCTAGGTTACCGAATAAGCCACAGTTAGAAGCCTGATATTGTAACCGAGCTTCCATTGGCTCCAATCCCTGTCAACACAAAGAGCAAGAACAATGGCCTGTGTCGCTCCCATTGTGGACATTAAAGCTGAGGTTGAGTGATGGCTTGGGTATTCTTCATTCATCTTAGCCTGTACCGCGTAATTAAAAGTGGTGGACGACAATTGGTAGCGCAAGGCATATTCACATAGAATATTGATATACAAATTTGGAGAATGATCTCTTTATAAATTTTTTTTACAAATTTTTGTAAATTACATTATGTACTCCTGGAAGTATATAGTATAACTTAGTGTGTGTACTTCCGGAAGTACATAGTGTAGTTTGTAAATAAAAAGTTTGCAAATATAATCTCCTCAACAAAATTAAATGACTACAATATAAAGAAGTTGGTAAACAATTGTGCTGTGTTTTTGGTCATAAGATATAAACTGACCTGAATGATGAACCACAAAGAAAAAGAGCAGCAGCTTGCTATGGCACATGAAATCCCAAACATTTTACTCCGAGTATGTCCATTTTGGCTGTGATGTGGATGCATAAGGTTGATTTTGGAAGACCAAATATCAATTTCTATCCCTTTGAAAAAGGTCAACAACATTGCCCCACCAATTCCAATTATTGTTCCTATCACCTTGGCCTTTCCTTCTACTACACCCAAATTTAATTTTTCGAATCTATAGAAAATCAAAAAGTATGTTAAGCGAAATTGTTATAAAATTAAAATGGGGGTCCCAAACTTATCTCCAATTTACACTAATTAATATAATTCATTTTATAAACAAAAGCAGTATAAATTGTGAGTGCATAATGTTATTTTCCACAGAATTCTTTCATTTAATAATTACCCTTGCTATGTGGCGTGACTAATAATCATAGCTTTGTTGAAGCAAATTGAAAGAAAGTTGTTACGTATAAATTAGGATAAATAGCAGTCAACAGCTTTTTATATGGCATAAAATTCATATATTCCTAAATTTAGACTTCACCCCATTTCACTAATTAATTAACTAACCTCACTCTAGCTCTGTTAACAAATTTTCAATGTAAAGCGACATAAACATCATGTTAATTATATAGATTGAAAATATATACCAAATAATAAATTGATATTGAAATTAAAATAAAAACCACAAGAATAATAGAATATTGAAACCAAATTTAATGTATTAACTGTTGAGAGGGAGAATATCTAAAGCTTTGTTGAAACAACAATGTTTTGAAGAAAAATAAAATAAAGCAAGATTATAAATTTTCAAGCAAAAGACACGTAACTTTATATTTATAGTGTTAGCTATGGTTAGTTTAAAATTAATAAAAAATAGTCTATTCAAAGACATAGGATGGAAGTTAGTCAATGTACTCAAATTGTATAAATTTTGA